CCTGCACATTGTGTGATTTTATTTATTTATTTATTTGTTGAAAACACTTTGTTTTGCCAAGTCTTTGTCTGCACCAAGTACCAGATCCGTAACAGAAGACTGAGGTGCCTGAATTGGGTCGATAGGATGAGGGTCAGCAGTGTTTTCTGGATGGGACCTAAGTGGGCTACAAATTGGAGACCCACTGAGACACACCTGGCTTCAGTCACCATCTAAATCACAGCCAAAACTGATCTAAATTTGTGTGACGCTGATCATACAGATCTGTCCTGTGAGATTTTATATGACTCAGAGTTGTTCCTGTTGGTTTAAAAACTTGTCCTGAGGTTATGTTTCAGAAATGTAAAGTTACCAACATCGCCTTCATCCTTGGAAACCTTCACTGAAGTAAAGAAGCCATGAAGGAAAGAAAGACTAAAAGTGTAGCCATGCTTCGCAATTTGAATGTCACACGGACAACATCACATTTGTTCTTAAACTTAAAGTCAATGCATCATGTTTGTATAGGAACAGGAAACGTAAGATAGTCCAGACAGTCTGCTTTTACCTGATGGATGGATGGATGGATGGATGGATGGATGGATGGATGGATGGATGGATGGATGGATGGATTTATTCTATCTATTAGCTGTGTTTTCCCTGTTTGTGTCTGCTTGTGTTGACTGAAGCATGGATGACTAGCCCAAGACAAATGTCCCATGCATGGAACAAAAAACTAATCTTGATCTTAATCTTGATCTTGACTGTTATCTCTGAGAAGTGACATAAAAGGCAACGGAAGAAAACCTGAAAAACCTGCCTTCACCTCATAAAAAGGTTTGAAGAATGACATGACCGATAAACGATGAAGTGCAATGAATGCACGGTATACTACAAAACAGGAAAACAAAACTGTGATCAAGCCTTAAGGTTTTGTTTTGACAGTAGGAGCTAAACTAAAAGAAAAAAAAAAGCTTTCTACCAGGCAACATATTTGTTACATACATACATGTGCAAACCAAATGTAGGAATCTGGAAGAATCATGAATCTTTTACTTTTGTTTTTAGTTTAAGTTCACAAAGGATTTAAAATGTGTTTCCTATCCACCCGTTTACACTCACATACCAGCGACGGCAGGGCACTGGCCTGCAGGGGCAACCTGGGGTCAAGCAGTGTCTTTGTATTATTGAAAATGCAAATATAAATCAATTTAACAATGCAGTTTGATTGTATAATTTTTGTATTAATCAACTAACAGTGTTTATAAAGATGACCCATGTGACTAAATATTGATTGCAGAAGTCTTGAAGTTGCTCAAACCTTTTTATATCTCTTTATGAAATGTCTTCTGCAATTCATTATCATTGCATGCCATATGACAACGTATTAATGATGCCAGTTAACAGATATGACGTGATAAATGTAAGAATATACTTACACGATGTTGTGATTGATCTGTTTATTTTATTTATTTATATTATAAATACACATCTGCTGTATAATATCCAGAGGTTTCAGTGGAAGTGTGTGTCCTGTTTAGAAACAGCTCCAGCAGTACCAACAGACCTTTTTTGTTTCAGAAGAGATTTATCTTGATTATCAATAATAATACTTTTTGTTTTTTAACAATATCGATTGACAAGTTATCCATTTAACTCCTTGTAGAATTCAGCTGCTCCACGGCAGCTTCAAATCACATGAGACTTTATATCTCACAGCTCCTCCAAGTTTAGACGTCACTTGTTTCCTGGTTAAGAAGAAACGCCTTCAGGGAGACGGAGCTTGACTTTGCCTACCTGCCAAGTTGTTAAGTTTCACCAAAAGTGAAATCTCTTTGTGTGTTCTCAGGGCTCTATACCCACTGAGGCTGTCTTCTCAGGCAGCTTTTACCTACAACTTCTACCTGGTGGAAAATCAGCAAACTATTGCAGACATTCAATAAACTCTGAAACAAAACACAATGAATCCAAATGACATATTGTTTTGGGAGAGTGTTCTGCCTTTGGTTACCTGAAAGGCTAAACTCAGGGAAGCAAAAGTTGGCACACAAGGAACCCATACGTCAACCATATTAACTTGAATTGTTATCAGTGTGTACATATTGTGTGTGGATGGACAGAGGGATACTCACCAACTCACTGATCTACCAAAATGCTCAGGTAAATGAATTTCTGTAAATA